AGTAAATGTGTTACACAGACTCATAGAGAGGACAGATTAGTCAGTGTACCTGGTGGTGACTATAACAGATTTCGTTATAAGAACATAATTATTTCTTAGACTAACTATAGGCTTACATTACAGTATATATAAATATTGCTATGTTCTTAATTGTTAGGGGGAGATTGAGAGTTGGTACTAAGATATTACCAATTACAGAGTGTCCCACTTTTGAAAGGATATCACCAAAAGCATATTTGCATTTTGAAATAATGAATTCCTACATTATGTTATTGTAAAATCTTTGTGTGCATCATGGATTAGGTGTTTTAATGTCAATACAGTAAGTGCTGTGATGTTCTTGGTACAGTGCAGAGTAGGTTCTTCTTGAAGTCCTTGAGAATAAAATGTGGTCTCCAAGCTGTTACAGGGCAGGGGACAATGTGTTCTTCCCAGGGTCGCTGTGTTCTTTTCTTCCCAGGAACTATGGAGTGCCTGCCTGATACAGCAGTGGTACTAATCACCGCTAGATGCTCAGTCCTGCCTGCTCATGTCTTTCACCTGTGTTAGTAATCATTTAACCGCTACTTGTTTCAATTGTTGCAATTGGGAAATGTGTCCCACGGACTAAAAAATAAATGTTTGGGGTACAGACTTTTTTGAGTTGTGAGATCTGTGCCCAAGCCTATTGTTGTCCCCTGATTTGAGGTACTGTGGAACTCTGAATGACCAAACAGTTTCGTACTGAGGAATTTTTTAAGTAAATGTCATAGTGAAATCACTATGTATCATATACTGTGCTAAGAACTTTAGATTATCTCATTTCACCCTCACAGCATCCCTCCAAATTAGAAACTGTTACTCTCCATTTTACAGGTGAAGAAACTCGGGAACAGAGAGGTTAAGAAATGTGCCTGAGATTACATGGCTAACGGAAGGCAAAGCTGCCATTCCCCCCGGGCAGTGTAACCATGCAGGACGGACTCTTAAACACTGCAAAACTTGCCTCTTTAGTTTTCTCTACTGTCTCACTTGCTTAAGGGTGATCTCTGAAGTAAATGGATTCATTCCGTGCCGAAAGAGTCTTTGAGTTTAGTTCATCTTGCTCTAGTGTTTTGAATACTGAAAGCTAGAAGGATGATTTTACATTGTGGCATAGTGGATTTTGCACACAGACACAAATGGTCATTGTGATGAATGATCTTTTGGGGTTATTTGAAATGCTTTCTTGCCTTTCTAATTATTCTTTTCTTATAGTCACTTTTTGCCATCCATAGCTTTACCTAGTTACCTGCCATAATTGTATGTAGTTCTCCCTCAGCCAAGAAACTTTGGTTAAATCTGATTCATTCTCCATTGAGAATCACTGTACCACAACATTAGGCNAAATAATGTTATTATGAATGTTCTTTTACAGTTCTCCTGTGCACATAAGTGAGAGATTCTGTGGGGTACCTACCTATGAATGAAATTGCTAGATCAAAAGGTATGTATATCTTCAGCTTCATTAAATATTGCCAGTCATCTCCAAAAGCACTACCATTTGGATGTCCACCTTCACTGATTAAATTCTCATTGTTCTACTTGCCAGGACTAGGTATTGTCAGGCTTTCCATCATTTTTTTTTTTAAGCTGAGCCATCCTGCCACCTGTTGGCAGCTCAGTGGCTGCTCAGCTCGGGCCGGGAATCGAACCGCTGTTGCTCAGAGCTCACACTCTTGAGCAAGCTCTTAACCAACTGAGCCACTTGGCCATCCTCCTTTTCATCATTTTGATAAGTGATATATCTCATTGTTATTTTGAATTCCTCTGATAACTAGTGAGGTTGGACATGTTTTCTTATGTTTGTTAGTATTGCAGGTATTGTTTTCTTAGTACTCATATTGTTTATTATGGTTGAAAATTGTATGTAAGTTGAAAGTAGCATGAAGTAGTTACCACTAAATAGTAATATACCATAGTTGTATCTTTATAGCATTGGCAACTTTACAGATTTTTTAGAGGAAATAACTTGGGGTGATTTTCTGATAGTATGTTTGAGAGAGCATGGACTTTGGAATTAAATTAATGCTTGAATCCTGGCTTCATTGTTTATCAGCTTTATGACCTTGGGCAATTTGTGCAATCCCTCTGAGTCTGTTTCCTCATCCTTAAAATGAGTATAGCTCATCGTTTGGTGATAGAATTAAATGAGATAACATTAACACATGGCACATAGCACATAGTTTTGGAATGAAATAAGCATGCATTAAACAATAGTGTGAAAGATGTGTAATACGATGGTATATAATTAAATCAACACTGAAACCTGTCAGCATTTGTGAAATTAAAATGCAACCTGTTAATAGCTGACTCTGATATAAACACACTTCCTCCCAGGGTTCAGTGAGGAGACCACTGGCATAGCTAATCCAAAGCAGTTGTGTATATGCCATGTATCTATGTTTGGCAGCCCCCACTTGTCCCCATACAACCCCTGCCCCACCATGTCACTTGTGTTCATCTTCTGTGTCCTGTCGGTTTTCCACCAGAACATCACAACATCACTGATTGTGACAAAACTCTCCATGTCACAGTGGATAGGTGGAAGTAACCATGGGACCCTCGTGGGAACCCCGGAATCTGGCCTTGGTTTGGGGATTCTGTCAGACAGCGTGGGAGAGGTGGGCTGGGTGCCAGATTGCTGATGGCGGAAATGCAGGCCTATAGATAACTGTGAATTGATGTTATTTAGACTGTTCTTGTGTCCCTTGCCACAGGAATTGCTTTACATGGCTCCTGAAGTGACCATCACAGTTCGCCTCATTCGTTCATTTGAGCATCGCAATTTCAAGCCTGTGGTATATCGCGGAGTTAATTTGGACCAAACTGTAAAGGAATTTATAGTATTTCTAAAGCAAGGTATGAGACGTCTTGGTCATTTTGTTGTATTAGTATTTTGAAAAAGCAGTTGCCTATTACACTGAGAGTAATCTTTTAAAAATACTTTGAAAGGTATTAATCTAGGTTGTAAGCCAAGTGTTAAGGCTGGCTCCGTTCCTGGGCCTTGGCATTAGCAGCGGTGTCTCCCAGGGCTCATTTGGCCGTGTGTGCCCTCATGAGGGAGTGCTGCCACCATGTCTGCCTTCTCTCTCTCTTTTTTGATTAAAAAACTTAAGGTCTAGGTTTGCTTCTAACAGGCTTATGCATTTGGAGGTTGATTAATAAGGGAGTATAGTGTAGATAATTGTGTTACCTGGCTGAGCACACGCAGGACCTAATGGGGAGTGTGGCAGGAAGGAGGCAGGCCTCTGTCTGTACAGCCAGGAAATGGTGAGAGCTGTTGGTCACTGTGGTCACAGAAATGACCAGGCTGACCGGTGCTAGTTTATCACAGTGAACTTGAAAGCAGTAGGCCTGAAGTTAGCTTCATTTTGGTAGGTCCTTGGTGGGTTTCTAACCTCTGTTTTTAATTGTTGAAGTGTTCTAATCATCAACATTTGATAAAACATCTAGAATAAGTGTTCATTAATTTAATTGAAGTGTCATTTATACACAGTATAATGCACAGGTCTTAATGTACTGTTCCATGAGTTTTGACAAATGTGTCACTTTATATCCAACTTAATTTTTTTGTTTGTTTTTTTACTTTGACATAATTTCAGACGCAGAAATGTTGTGAAAAGAGGACAAAGAATTTCTGGATGCTCTTTACACAGATTCCCAAATGTCAACATTTTGTTACATTTGTCTTATCCTCCACCCCCGCCTTTTTCTCTTCCCCCTTTTGTCTTATTCTCCTTACACCCCTACCCCATTTTTTTTCTTTCTGAACCACTTATAAGTATGTTGCTGACATGATTCCCCTTTACCTCTAAATATGTCAGTGTGTACTTCCTAAAAACAAGGAATTCTCTCGCATAACTACCGTACAGTGATGAAAATCAGGAATTTAACATTAAAACAATGCTATTGTCTAATTTGCAGATTTTATTTCAATTTTAATTGTCCCAATAAGGTCTTTTTGTAACAAAAGAATACAAGGTCATGTTACATTCAATCCTTTTAATCTGAAATTAATTTCTTCAGGCTGGAGTCTTTTATTGTATTTCCCCACATTGGCAATTTTGAATAGTACAGGCCAGTTATTCTGTACAGTGACCCTCAGTTGGGTTTTTCTGATATCTTCTCATGATTAGATTTTGGTTACACCTTTTGGCAGAGAAATCATAGCAGTGAAGCTGACTTCTCAGTGCATACACCAGGAGGCGCTGCTGTCCACTAGCCCCATTACTGGCTGTGGAAATTTGGGTTGGTTAAGGTTGTGTCTGCCAGGTTTCTCCTTTGTAAATTTTAATTTAATTGAAAAGTAACTTGTAGGGGTATTTTCTGAGACTATGTATGTGAATATCCTGTTACTTCTCAAACTTTCATCTACTAGGTTAGCATTCTTTGATGATCCTTGCCTGAATCAGTTATGATGATTGGCAAATGGTGCTTTTTCTTATTCCATCATTCTTTTATGAATTGTTTTTCTACAGTAAGGAAGAACTTTCTACCCCACCCCACTCCATTTATTTAAACGCTTGTTTATATCACTGTGGACTCATGGATGCTTACTTTA